ACAGCATCAGAGATGGGGTGACCTATTGGAGCCACACAGCCTCTCAGAGATGGGTGTGGCTTGCCAAATTGTCAATCAACCTATTTACTGCAAGATGCCTACTACACTGAGAAGCAAGGCTTTTCCCACTAAAACCTTATCCCTGCCTTTGATGTAATCCTCCTTAAATAAAGAATTGGAGCATTTGTTCAGTTCCATCTCCCATTGAGTACTGGAAGACCCATATATATTCAGATACTCCCCTTTCTATCTAATTTCTGGCTCTGTCTTTAATTCTTACTTATTATTTTGGACTTTGTATTTCTCAGATGGCTCATATCTCCTGAGCAGGAACCTATTCCCACAGGGTGCTGGTCACCCTGCTGAGAAGAAAGTGTATTCAATCATCCATGGATGAAATGTTGTATATATGTGTGTTAAGTCTAAGTTTGTTAATTGTTAGTTCTATAGCTTCTTTATTTAGTTTTGTTTGGATGATATATCACAATGATGAGAGAAACAGGTTAATGTCACCTAGTATTATTGTAGGGTGGTCTGTTTTGTTCTTGAAATTGAGAAGGGTTTGTTTGATGTACATGGATGCTCCATAATTTGGGGCATAAATATTTATTATTGTTATATCTTGTTGATATATTATTCCTTTAAACTGTATGAAATGACATCCCTCTGATTAACTCTGGTTTGAAGTCCATTTTATCTGATATGAGGATAGAACCCCCTGCTTGTTTATGAGATCCATGTGAATGGTATAATTTTCCCAATCTTTCACCTTTAGTCTGTGGATGTCTTTGCATATGAGGTCTCCTGGAGACACATATTGTTGGGTCTTGTCTTTATTTCAGCCTGGGCAYCTGTGTCTTTTGATTGCTGAGTTTAGGCCATTTACAGTCAATGTTATTACTAAGAATTGATTTTTATTTCTTGTCTTTTTGAACTATTTTGGGTTTTAATTTGAATTAGTTTCTCCTTCGATTGGCTCTTTTACTAGTGAAGCTCCTTCCTTTACTGGTTTTCAATTTTATTTTTCATTTTTTTTCTTCATGAAATATTTTATTGAGTGTATTTTGTTTTGTATGATTTCTAGTTGTGAATTCTTTTGTTTATTGTGGAAGGCTTTTATTTTATTGTCAAATCTGAAGCTTAATTTTCTGGATATAGTATTTTTGGTTGGCATCCATTTTTCTTCAAAGCTTAGTGTATATTATTTCAAGACCTCCTAGCTTTTAGGGTTTGGGTTGAGAAATCAACTGAGATGTGGATTGGTTTCCTTTTATATTTTACCTGTCATTTTCCCTAGCAGCCTTTAAAATTTTATCCTTATTTTGTATGTTGGGCATTTTCATAATAATGTGCCTTGGTGTTGTTCTTTTGTAATTTTGTATATTTGAAGCCCTGTATGCCTCCTGTATTTCATTTTCTATTTCAACCTCAAGGTTTGGGAAAATTTCTGATATTATTTTATTGAAAAGGTTGTGCAGTCTTTTGTTTTCTATCTCTAAAACTTCATCTATCCTGATAAATCTTAAAGTTGGTCTTTTCATATTATCCCATATTTCTTGGAAGTTCTGTTTATGTACTTTTAATACCTTTTCTCGATGTTCAGCTTTATTTTCCAGATGACATATTTTGTTTTCATTGGTTAAAACTCTATCTCCAAAGTGGTCTAGTCTGCTGTGATGCTTTCCATTGAATATTTATTTATTTATTTTGGATTCCTTCATTTTGAGAATTTTAAATTTATTCTTGTTCAGGATTTCTATCTCCTTAATAAAGTGATTTTTCACTTCTTAGATTTTCTCTCTGATTTCATTCCTTATGTTGTCTTTTACCTCGCAGATCAGTTTAACTATGAACTTTCTAAATTTCTTCTCTGAAATTTCCTCCATTGTGACATCATTGGATTCTGTTAATGATTCTGTTTTGAATTGTTTGGGATGGATTATTCTCTTGCTTTTTCATGTTTGTAAGTGTACCTATTTTTTTTTTTTTCATTAAGAACTTGAGGTGGCAGAACTTCTCCCTTATGAGTTTATAGTGTTCCTGAAGACTTCTAGTACCTCAAATTTTAGGGGGAGGCAAATAATAATAATAATAATAATAATAATAATAATAATAGCAACAACCAATACAGTTGATATTCAGCATTAAACTAAATGCTTAGTTCTTATTTTGGCACGTGCAATGTTAATTAGCAGTATAAACAGAAATGGTATTGTAGGCAATTGCCTACAGTAGAGATATGTTTACAAAAGTGTTTGCTCTTTCAAAAAGGTGAATGCAGAGATGTAGGATGAAATACTTGAGAGGGAGATGAGAGAGAGAGCAGTAGTAAAGAGTTAAAAGGAGAACAATAGAATTTGGCTCTTAGTGAAAAAAAAGAGAGGAAGACAATCAAGGGAAATAGGAGAAAAACAATATAAAACAAACAAAAAACAATATAAAACAAAAACAAGGGATACTAATGAAAAACCCTAGTCCTAAAAAGGCAGAGTCAAGAAAATAATTACCTTCAAAAATGGTTGAAATAAGAAGATAAGAAGTGAGGCAAATATGTATATGTTCAGATGTCCATGGGCCATTCAGCACACAAAAGTTAAAAAAAAAAAAGTTCTTGATGAAATAGTAAAAGATTGTTGTTTTTTTTTGTGATGGTCAAAAAGTTGTCTATAATATCCTATGTTGATTGTCAGTTCCCAATTGCCTTTATTTCCATCTTTTCTTGGGATATATGAATTGTGCACAAGAATAGTAGTCAGGGGCTGTCAGTTCCTTCTTTTTGTGCATCTCATCATTGTTGTCTGTTCTCAGTTTCCCTTCTCAGCAGTATTAGATGGGGCAGTTTGGAGGGTGGTGTTTATTCCACTCACAGCAAGGGGTCACTGTAGAGTTCTGTGAAAGGATTCCCAGGTGGAGTTTGGGTCTAGTTAGACCATGGTACTTTAGGGAATGATGTTTGGTGAAGCTTTTAAATCAGCACACCTCCAGAGCCCAGTTACTTCACGTCTGCACTGGGCATCTGTACCAGTTGAGTCTCCCCTGGGTTCTGCTCCAGCGGCAGAAGAGCCAGTCCCTCACCCATCTCTGCCTCTCATGGCTCCTGTATTTTGGCCACTGGGGCTTAGTCCCAAAGCGTACATTCACCCCCATACCGGATGAAGTCCCCAGTCATCCCCCTCTTGTCCTGACAACCGTGTGACTCACAGTGTGAGAGATCTTTCTTTCTTTCTTTCATTGAAACTTTTGTATCCCTATGCCATTCTGAAAGTCCAGTCAGTATTAGATCCCAGTAGGATTTCTTTCCTTTTTTTCTTCTTTGTCTTCTTTTTAAAAAATTTTTTTCTGACCTCAGAGAGAAGCGGTTTGCTCTCTTTCTTGGTCCTGCACCATGGAGCAGTTTGGAAAGCAACCTTCAGTTCTTTGTTGTCTTCTCATAAGTTTTAAATTGTGTCTGTTCTGCATGCATCATCACCTCCTTTATCTCATCCCATATGTATTGTATCATCTCCTGTCATCACAAAAAGGGTAAGTACAGTGCATAAAGTATTTTTGAGATTGAGCAGGAGACCACATTCCCATACTTTGTACTACGTTATATTATTATAATTATAGTATTTTGTTATTAGTTATTGTTATTCATCTCTTATTGTGACTAATTTATCATAAGTGTGTTTGTATAGGAAAAAACATCATATGTAAGCATTAAGTACCACCTGTGGTTCAGATATCCAGTGGGTGCTTGGAATATATCTGTGGTAATGTGTTGTGCTTAGTTAGAATGACTTTCCCTAAGTTTATTAAAGTGTTTACTTGTATATTATTTTAGTACTTTCATTTTTTTTTTCTTGAAGTGATGAGGATCAAACCCAAGGCTTCGCACATGCTAGGCAAGCACTCTACCACTGAGCTTGCCTAGCACCCAGGCTCTACCTTTGTGTTTGTTTTTTAAAGATCAACCAGTGGGGCTGGAGTTGTGGCTCTCAGTGGTAGAGCACTGGGCTGGCATGTGTGAGGCCCTGGGTTCGATTCTCAGCACTACATATAAATAAATAAATAAAATAAAAGATCCATTGACATCTAAAGCAAACAACAACAACAACAAAACTCTTAAAAAAAGATAAACCCGTGAATTTCAAAGGGTATAGAATGCTCACATTAGAGCTTCACCTACATTACAACTAATCTTTAAGAAAATATCATTTGAGTTTTGCTGTAGTAGCAAAGAAGGATACCTACAATCATCTGGAAAATTATTAAAATACTCTTCCCTTTCCAACTATATAGCTATGGATCATAGTCTATTTTTACATTTGAATCTAAAGTGGAAATCTACTGGAATTTGTTCCCAGCCTCTCTCACAACTGTTTCCCTTGCAACCCAGATTTGTGAGGCTCCAGTTGCTTGTTCCTACTTTTTGATTTTGCTCACTGGTTATAGTTGATTAGATTGGAAATACAATTAGATTGCCTCTGCTGGGAATCTGTAACACTTTGAAACATTTTCAGTTTGACATGTGTAGCGATAAGCCATATTCTGGGGAGCTGCAGAGTGCCATATTCCATGCCTGTCCCAGAGAGCGAAACACTGTGTAAAGACTGATTGAGATGAGACAGAGCAATGTGGGTCCTGTTCCTGGGCTCAGTTCTAAAATCAGTGCATTTCTCCAGCAGATTTCCATGGAGCAGCTCTGGAGTTTTGTGATAAATTATCTTTTCATACACCATTGCAAGTCAGTTTCTAGTATAACCACATAGACACATAGAACATAAAATGTATTTTATTGTGGTGTAAAACCCACCTCAGGTATTTTAAGTACCTTTCAATATTTTTAAACCCCAACTCCTTCATCTCCCTTCCCCTTTCTCTTTGTAGATGTCACTCATTCCTTACTTCTTCTCTTGCTTGACTGCTTCTGTCTGTGGACTTCTTCTTGTGTGGTTTTATAACATCTTCAACTGTTTCTAACTTGGGCAGCTGGAATCTGTTTTAAATCCAAATTCCCTTCTAACTCTAATTCTGTCTCCCTGATTCTTCAAAAAGGAAAAGAAAGAAAGAAAGAAAGAAAAAGACACCTACATTAATTGTCTTCACTTCTCACCAACACTCACCCTAAACCCAATGTAACCTGACTCCGTCCCTAAAGGATGGCCTTAAATTGATCTGGTCAACCACCTGCTATTGCACCTGTCCTTTGACTATGTGGGGCACTGTTCCTCTTGCAGTTTATGTAAATCCTAGCAGGGCTGATGCATGGTGGCTTTGCTTTCAGGAAGTTGCTGGATACTTGAGCCAACTTTCATATAGATGGACATACTCTTTTCAGATTTTTAATTTGAGAAATTTCAGACATATAAAAATGGTGTCAATAATACACCCCCACACATGTTCAACATCCAACTTCTACAATGATCAACTCAGAGTCAATTTGTTTCTTTTATATCTTACACACTTTCCCCAACTCCCAGGAGCACTCTAAAGCAGATTCCAGACTTATATGTCTTCATCTATAAATGTTTCAGTGTGTATATCTGAACGACAAAGATCCCATTTGTAAACATAACCATATCATCATCATCATCATCTCAGCTTGTATCAACAATAATTTGCTAATATTAATAGTCTCATCCCTGATTTTTTAAAAATTTTGACAGTTTATTTGAATCTGAGCCCAAACAAGGATCTACACATTTTAAACGTTAATAAGTCTCTTAAGACTCTTTAACCCTTAGGTGCCCTGTTCATCTTTCCCAGTCTACCCACACTCTACATTTATTTTGGTAATATGGTTATTGAAGGTAATTGAACAGGTTACTTGTTTTGTAGAATTTTTAACCATGTGAATTTTGTCAGTTGCATTCCTGGGAAATCATTCATGTGTTTTTCTGTCCCCCGTATTTTCTATAAATGGGCAGGGGCTTGATGAAATTCGAATTCAATCTTTGACAAGACCACGTTCGAGGTGGAGTTGTGAGCATACAACAGGAGGTACATATTATCTGGTTCTTCTCAGGGTCCCTGTGGATGATTCTGTTACAGCATTATTACACTCGGGCAGATTTGTTCTAACTTGGCATGCTTCCTTTCTCTCAAGACTATAAAGTCCTTCTTATGGGACAATGCCTCTGTCCTCAGCATCTACTTTAATGCCTGACACAGTGACAAAAGAAACCTTCCAAGAGTGTGCCTGTGCCTGTGGATACATCGTGTCACATAGCACATGGTCTTATCAATTTATCCAGGGAGAAATTACAAAATGTTCTCTTAAGTAATTGAAGGATGTAAACTGTTGTAAAAGCCATTTCACTTTGGAAAATTTCTCTTCCCAAAATGAGGAATTGGGATTTAGAGTAGCTGCCCATGATCTGTTCATAATTAGCTAGATAGCAAAAATGTTTCTGTGGAAGCCACTTCTTGTTTGGGAGGATAACCAGTATGACTCATCTTCCTATTGAGAGGTTAAATCATTTTCCATAAGGCACACAGCTAATGGTTGGCAGGACTCAGGGCTTAGATCTAGGTCCTCAAACTCCAATTATAAAGCTTTTTCTAGTACATACTACAAAGCATGACTATCAAGTGACTCTCACATTAGGTGACATTTAACAAGTATGAAGCACAAATAATAGTCTCTTCCAACTTGAAGTAAAGGTCATTGAATCCACCCTGCAGGGCTAGATTATTCTGTGTAGAGAGAAACCTCCAAATCAAAATATTCAGGCCATGGGAGTTACTCAAAGCTGCAAAATGACCAAAAAGCTCCTTAATTTCGAGCATTGTTTTAAGACAAAAATAGCTAGTTCAAAATATCATTGTGAAAGCCTCAAAATAATAATGGGCCAGCTGCCCTTGGCCAGTGAGCAGCCCAGGCTGCTTGGTGGAGTCCCTGCTAGGTAACTGGGCTTCCTACTTGAGTGCCTGCCAGCACTTTCCTCACAGATACACTAACTGCTTTGCCACCCTAGATGCTTGACTGGGGCCTGGTGCCCTTACCCAGCATAGAAACTACTAAATCAGGATCCTTCCCTTGGCTGTACCAGTGCAGTGTAAAAAGATCCTCAGTGGCTCCTGAGGGTTTCCAGATTTCACTGCCAAAGCTTACCCGGAATAGCTTCGTTAGCTGCAGTCAGGAGAAGCCAAGCTGTTCGAAGAGGAAGGGCCAATGGGACAGCCTTGGGATCTATTCCCCATGGGTTCCTGGTATGCTTCAACTGTTAACTGTTTTAGTGTGAAAAAAGACCAGATCAGCACAATTGCAGAGGAGGAAAAGTTTATTTGAGGGCTCACAGTTTCAGAGGTCTCAGTCCATAGTAGACCAGCTCCATTCTTTTGGGCTGGAGGCAAGGTTGAACATCAGGGAGGGAGAGGGTGGTGGAGGGAATCAGAAAACAAAGAATTCACTTGCCAGATACAAATATATATGCAAAGCCATGCCCCAATTCCCACCTCTTCCAGCCACATCCTACACTTCAGTTAATCTCTATCAGTGGATAAATTCACTGATTGAGTTAAGACTCTTACAACCCAATCATTTCTCCTCTGAAACTTCCAGCACTGTCTCACATGAGAGCTTTTGGGGGACAGCTCACATCCAAATCATAACATTAACAAAACCAGGACATCGTATGGTCTGAGTATTTGAATCTCAAAGAAGAATACAGTGCATGCCAAAAGCCCAACCCAGAGTTAAAAAGCAAATTTGATCCACAGATCGTCAAAAGGGTTCCACACAGCATCAAACCAGGTCACAACGTGCACAGGGGAAAGTGTATTCCATGCAACTGTGAGAAGACTCCACAGTCTTCAGCTGCACCTACTTGTCATGTGTCACTCTTCATCCCTTCCAAAACAGGACTCGTGAGCTGTTCTTCTCTGTTGACCTTCAGCTAAAATAGTGCCTGGCACTTAATAAGAACGTGTGGAATGAATGTTGTTACCTCAACAGAAATGCTTTATACATATCATAATTTCTCCTCCTATCATTCCTGCTTGCGTGAATTCAATTACTTTCAGAGAAGAGGAAAACACTTAAAGTAATTTTCATTTAATTACTGAATGGTAGTACTAGTCACAAAGAATCATTTTTTCTCACTAAAGCAAACATTATGAACTCCATTATTGAACAGTCTAAGATGAGACAGTGAGAACAGAACAAAGATTAGGTTGACATTTTTCTTTTCCAGAAATAAATCCATATTTATGATTGATACAAACTAAAATGAAACCAGGACCTTCAGCATTGCTTATTTGGACATTTCCTGGAAGCCTGGGTTAGTTTTTAAACCACTCCAGGGTTTGGTTTCTTCCCCAGGGCAAGCTAGGTTTCAGTTAAGGGATCCTGTCCTAAATGCAGCTTTCTTAGGGTAACCCTCTGGGGAAGCTCTGAACTGGAGCTCCCTAATCTAGGCAAATAGGTTTCATTTCACATACTAATGCCCGTAGAATGACTGGAATGTTAAACCAAGAGGGCTTTGTGGCTGGGCTTAGCTGTAACTTCGGCACGGATGATTAGTTGCCACCATGGACACAAGTGGGCAAACAGTGGCACAAAGGCTGCACATCACCATCCTGCCTTAAGGACTTCACAACACTGGAAAAGTCTGCTACATACAGAACTTAATAATTTCAGCCTTGAGGAATGCAAAATGCTCACACAGGATACCCCCATTTTACACTTTCTTGTCGAGTATAACTCATTCAAGTTTCATGGAGCAAGGACTAGAAGCTGAGAACACTGTGTCCCAGTATGAATCCTTTTCCACGTGCCCTGTACAGGTTTGGCTGGATGCAGTCGCCACAGAAACCCTCACTATGGGACCAGTTCCTAAAAGTCAAATGCTGCCTATTTGATTGATTTGTTGATAGAACCAGTCACTGACCTGCACATGGCAATGGGGAAGTTTCTCCTTGGCAGTCAAGGGGAATAATAAGAGGAAAACCTGCCAGGACAAGGCATTTGGCAGAACTTGTTGAAACTCTATTTCTAGAACCTGGAAGGCACATGGATCTCAAATGCACTAGGGAGTCATGYGGGCTGATCTTTCTGCCCTTAAGAGGAATTGTTTGCAATCTTTGACCCCACATAACCTACGCAGGTACACATTCCAGCATATTTCAAATGTTTTCTTTCTACCTGTGGAGAGTTTATCTCCATCTCTATTTCTCCATCTTCACCCCACAGTCAAGGCTCGTTTATCCAGCATATGGGAAAAGCAGACTATTGGCAAGGTCATTTTCAACTTTGAAGTGAATGACTGGCATCTCAGGTCACATAAATGGAAGGAATGGTGCTGCACGGTTGAGCCATAATGTTATGGCTGCATGTGAAGCATCATTTAAAAATATCCTCGTGTAACTTGAACTCTCCTTTGGTTTCATTGTTCACACTACAATCCTTTACTCCATATGTGATTCTCAACCAGATACTTCTGCCTGTTAGCAATTTTTACCTCCAGGATGGCATCTTATTAGAACCTGGTTAGAGCCACTAATAAGGCATGAATAAGAGATAATGGGGAGTGAGAATTAGAGTTCTTGAGCTAACTGTTCGTGAGAATGGAGGCGACATACCTTACCGATAAACATAGCAGGGATTTATCTACAATCATTGAATTTAATTAACATTTGTTCCAATTTCTTGACTTTTCTCTGAACTCCTTAGAATCTGTACTAAGATTTCAGGTGAACTTTTTTTCCCCATTTATCCTCTTCACCAAATAGTCAATAGCATCAACTGATAAAGTCAGTGCAAATTTTTGAAAGCTAATCCTAGCAGACACTCATGGATTTTGTATATAGGAGTGAATCTAAAGAGGGAATCAAGGGTTCTGTTTCAAATTTGTCCCTTAGTTCAAAGAGAACAGACACACTGTTTATAGGAGAAGCTTCTATTTCTGAAAGATCAAATTTGACTCATTCAAGAACCAGTCAACAAAAAAACTTGAACTTCTTAGGAATCCATCTCCCTAATATTTCAGACTCACAAAATGTATTGGGCAAATACATGACCTGTAGAATTCAGTTAAGTTATCCTGATAGTTCTTCTCCTTTTCCTCTTCCTTTCTCCTTCTCTCACCTTCCCCCTCCTCTCCCTTCCTTCTTTTTTCTTCTTCTTTCTTACTCTCTTATTTCCTGGAGACAAATGTCTTTTAAAAATATGAATCAATCTATGCAAACCTGAATATATGAAATAAACATTCTATCTGTACAGTATAAAATATAAAATAAATATATTTATTTTATAAAATAAATATAAAATATAAAATACGTTTTATCTGTTAGTTGCTCTAATGTTACTGAAGAAAAACTTAAGTGTTTCAGGTTTGTTTTCTTCCCAGATGATTAGGAGGAAACAAAGCTTTGCATAGAGAATGAGTGAGGCCTGAGAGGTGGGTAAAGGAGACTAGTGACTCTAGGTTGTGGGAAACTGCTGAATATTCAATAAGGAAGTCAACTGAACCTGTACAGTGGCCCTGCTCTCTTCATCTGCCCTCTTCATTCCCCTGCCCGGACCTCCTGACCTCTTGCGGGATTGTTTGTTTCCTTTCTATCCTGTCTGCAATCCATCTTGTGTCTCAATCATTTAGCCACAGAATATGTATCAAGCATCGACTTTGTGCTCAGCATATTTTTATCTTTTGAACACCATCACAGGGATCTTTAGAGAGAAAGGCTTTAAGAAATATCATTATATTTGCTGGTAAAGTTGTGACTTTTATAAAGAATAACGAAMGTAGGGCTGGGCTTGTGGCTCAGTGGTACAKCACTTGCCTAGCATGTGTGAGGTACTGGATTCGATTCTCAGCACTACATATAAATAAATAAAATAAAGGTCCATCAACAACAACAACAAAATTAAAAAAAAGAATGACCTAATAGCTCTGCCTACCAAATTTATTCCCCAAAGGATCTACAAGTATACAAGCAAGAATGTGAGGGTGTGTGTGTGTGTGTGTRTGTGTGTGTGTGCACGCGCATGCGCGTGTCCCCTCTGGATTTAAAGCTGACGTTAGTTTGCTTTCTTCCTCTCTAAAGAAAACAAATTTCCCAATCATTGTAAAGACTATTCCAACAAGAGTCTGATCTACAGAGAAAACCTTTGGCTCTCATTTGCTGATGTCCTCAGGTGTGAGAAGATGAGGTGCCAAATGTATCCTTCCCATTCCTCATATGGTTAYTATTTCTCTAATCTCATTTGCAAAGGATCTAAAAACATCTTTCCTCCCAAACTCACTCTGRTCTTTCCAAACTTTATTTTATTCATATTTTTATGCAATTCTTATTCCAAAACCAGTTGTGAGGATATTTTTAAAATATGTGTGTGTTTGTGTACATAATTTTGAAAGTTTCTAAAGTTATTCTGGGATGAACTTTTTTTCCATGTGAATCTATATATCTAAAGGGCTTTTTTTTTTTTTTTTTCTGTGACTGGCAATTTTAAGGTTTTTTTTTCCAATTTTATAAGTTTTCCTCAATGAAGATGGTTGCAAGCTTTCAGAGAGATACTTGATTTATATTCCATGATCACACACTGTCTTATTTCTGTTTGTCAGAAATGTATGCTATCTGCTATCTGCTTTGGATATGCCAAGTGGTATGTGGAAAGGGCTTAGAGTCTGGGAAGACTTGGGCTTCAACTTGGTCTCTACCTCTGGCTGGCTCTGTGTTTCCCTGGGAGAGGGACTTTAGATCTAGGTGTCTGTTTCTTCCTCTGTAAAACATCTCAGGTTGGTGCTGTGCTCTGTGAACCTTGAAGCGCCCTGTTAGTTGAGCCCTGGTTGGTAGAAGGGGTGCCTTGCAGTAGAGGGGTTAAGGGTCTTAAGGTCACTTCCCTCCCTTCCTACTTCTTCTTGCCCAGCTGAAAGGGGGTCTCCCTTTAGGCCTAATCAATAAGTACTATGACCAATAATTACAAGTGCATGACAAGTATTTAATGCTAAGGGTATTAAAAAGTGACAAAAAATAAAAAATAAAAAGCMTAAACATCACCTCTTGACAGGGAAGCTGATCAGTGAATCCAAAGAGCTTTGTCATAAATATGCAAACATTTTCTTAAAGGCTGTTATTGGTATAAACATAGCATTTCATGCTAGCCACCCTCCCAACTGTGGGTTTGATCTTCATTCCTCCCTCCCACAATTTTTGGCTGAGTACTAACAGAAAAGTGCACAGTGAGCAGCGACAACCCAACTGCAGGTAGGCACAGTTAACATCTTCATGTAAAAAAAAAATAGCCAGCGGTGTTCAACAGAATCAACTCCTTTTTTATTTCTTAAAGATACAATGTTCTGGTCTTTAAACCAAATGGCTATTAAGTGAAAAATAACCATTTATCATACATGAATTTTGATTAAAATCTACTGATCAGACAGAAACCCTAACAGAAAATAAACTATTCTTTCTCTAGCTTTAGAATTGAATTTACATGCTAATCCCAATGTAGACTATGCCAAATGCTGTGGGAATTTATTATTAAGAAAATAAAATTCTAGTAATAGAATTTTGGAGGACAAATTATACTTCTCTATCAGCATGTTTCCTCTTCTATCTAGAAGTCATTAAATTAGTTTTTCCACTTATGTTTCAACAATTGTAAGTCAGTCTATTATTTTAAAACATAATATCCATAAAAATTATTTCATTTAAACATCCACTGCCACATTATCCTGCTTGTTCATGTCTGTCTCCCTTTTCCTGGTGGGTGACATGTTATATGGAAGTATAACCATATCCTACTTTGGGYTACCACCAATCAATTACCTTTCTTTATTATCACCTGCTTAACTGATTAAATTTCATGAGCTGCTGACTCATTGGCACTACTCATCTTCCTTGAAATTTAACCTTTGCTGACAAGCCCGGTATAGCTATTTTTACAAGCTGTATCAACTG